TGTGCCGCGACAAAAAAGGCGCAGTCCGCTCCAAAACAAAAGGACATCAATGACAAAAAAAAAAAAAAAACGCAATCCATATGCGAGCGCGACAAAAAAAAACACATCAAAAAAACACCGATGCAAAACACAAAAAAAAACGCAAACGACCTCTGGGTTCGGCGGTGGACGGCGCCCGCCGGCCTCGCATCGAGGACGAGGCGGAGCTGCCCGGACTTTTTCTTGACAAAGAACATCCCGCAGCGGGCGGCGACCCTCGCCCTGTAGCAGATGGGGCCGCAGTCGGCGAGCCTCTGCGCGAAGTCGCGGAGGAGGCGGGGGTTCGAAGCCAGGCGCCGATCCCAGTGGGGGCGCACTGGCTCGACCCCGTCCAGCTGGGCATCCCCCAGCGCGATGAGCGACGGGTCGGCGAGGTAGCGGGCCGCGCCAGCGCCCGCCAGCAGCCGGGCGCCCCTCGGGCGCAGCCGCTTGGAGGTGACGGAGACGCGGTCTGGGTCGCAGGGCGCCACGGCCAAAGGAACGCCCGTGTCGTAGAGGCCCTTTGCCTTGAGGAGCTCCGGCAGGGCGCCGGAGGGGAAGAGGTCGAACTCGAGTGGCCTCGGGCCCGCGGCAAGGGCCACGTCCGCGAGGCGCCTCCACGTCGAGAGCTGGGCGCCGGACAACCCCCGCCCGTGGGGGGGGCGGCTGGGCCGCGCCGGCCTGGGCAGCCCACGGGCGCGCGCGGCGGCCAGAGCGTTAAGGGCGGCGGCGGCGTCAAGCTGCAACGCGCCCGCTGCGCCGGCCTCCACGAGCTCCCGACCCGGCCATGAGCCGGGCAAAGAAAAGAATGACTTGGGCCGCGGGAGCGGGAACAGTCCACACTGCCCACGGGAAGCACCACGACGATCCATCCGAGCAGCGGCAGCACCACTGCGAGGCGGAAGGCCGGGCGCGAGGGGGAGGGCCCCGCTGGCCCTACTCGTTGTCCTTGCCGCCCTTCTTGCGGCCGCTCTCCTCGGCGCAGGGGCGCCGATGCTTCAGCGCGAAGGCCTCCGCCTTCTGCTCGTCGGCGATGAAGCGGGCGAAGTCCCCGACCGCCAGGGTGGCGCCGCTGTCGAGGCGGCTGTGGATAATCATCTCGAGGCCCTGGAAGTCGGGGTTCTTGGGCGACTTCTTGACCGCGCGCTCGATGTAGAGTACCCGCCGAGCCAGCATCTCCATCGCAGCGCTCTGAAAGATCTCGAGCTGGTCGAAGCAGAGCGCGCGGTGCAGCACAGACACGAGGCTCTGGTGATGCTTGGCGACGCCGGCCTCGGCGCTGACCCCAGACGACCTGGCCCACGCGGAGCGGTAGCTCTCCAGGGGCTCCCCGGAGGCACGAATCCCACGAAGCAGCTCGAGGGCGGCCGAGGGCCCGCGGAAGGGCCAATCCTTGGCGTCGGCCGTCGTCATCCCGTCGCGGCCCGTCTTCACCGGGAGCTCCGAGAGCGAGGCCAGGCCCTCCTTGAAGTCCAGGTAGCGGGCGTCCTGCGCGTCGCGGCTGATCGCGAGCACCCGCGGGTCGCGGCCGGCGCCCGTCTGCTTCTCCTCCTTCCAAGCCGCCAGGTCGCCGGGCAGCAGCCGCTCGACCGCCACCCACCTCTGGTCGTCCATCCTGGCGAGCCCGGTGTGACCCCGAGAGACGAAGCGCCCTGGGTTGGAGGTGGCGGCGACCTCGACGGCGGTGCCGAAGTCCTCGTCGGCGGGGTCGGCGACGTGCCAGACGGCCGCCGATGCAGCAGCCGCAGCAGGCGCAGCTCCACCCAAGATGCTCGCCAACGCGTGGGCCTGCTGCATCAGGCTCGCCAGCTCGTCCTCCCCCAGCGGGTCGAACCCGAAGAAATTCCCCCGCGGGCGCGGCGGGATCGGACACCCTCGAACCAGCGGCACGATGCGCGAGGTCGAGAGGTTCCGCACCTGGACGTCGAGGGTCGGCGTCGCATACACCCAGCGCCCATCGTCGCCGATCTTCACCAGGAGGATGCGGTGATGCCACCGAAAGTTCGGGTCGTCGTCGATCGCCTCGGCGATCTGCTGCTGCTCGATGTCGAGGGCCTGAAGGACGGCAGCCATCAGCGGCGACGCCGCGGCACCCAAACGTCAGGCTTGTCGACACCAGCCATGGCTGGTGTCGACACCAGCCATGGCTTGTCGACACCAGCCATGGCTGGCTGCTGGCCTGGCTAGCCAGGCCAGCAGCCCCAGCGTCGCGGTCGCCCAGCGCCAGCGGCGACGGCACCGCGCGGCCCGCGGCCAGGGCGGAGGGCGTGGCGGGAGCCCCGAACGAGGCCCCGGCCGTCGCCGTGCCGACCCAGCGGCCGTGGCACCACAGGCGGCAGGCCGCCGCGAGACCCAAGGCTAGGGTCGCAGCAGCCAGAGCGGCGGCCCACACCGCCGAAGCCGCCCAGCCGCAGGTGCAGGCGGGGCAGGCGACCGCCGCCGGGCAGGCGGCCTGCGAGGGGCAGCTCGCCTCTGGGCAGATCGCCGCAGGGCAGACGCAGGCCGGGCAAGGCGCCGCCGGCGGGCAGGTCAGTGTGGGGCAGGCGGGCGCCGGGCAGGCGCAGGGCGGGCAGTCGAGGACGTGCCCGCAGGAGCCCGGCCCCGCTGCCTCGGGCCCGGACCACCAGCCCCCAGTGAGGCCACCGAGGAACGCCGCAATCGCGGCGGCAGAGGCGCCGAGCGGGCCAGGCCCTCCCATCCCAAGCCAGAAAAGCTGCAGAGGACTCCGATGCGGACTGTGATAATGTGGCACACTTTCAATCATCATCCTCATCATCGGGACACCATCACCATCATCATCATCATCATCATCATCATCATCATCATCATCATCATCATCATCATCATCATCATCATCATCATCATCATCATCATCATCTCATCATCATCATCATCATCATCATCATCATCATCATCATCATCATCATCATCATCATCATCATCATCATCATCATCATCATCATCATCATCATCATCATCATCATCATCATCATCATCATCATCATCATCATCATCATCATCATCATCATCATCATCATCATCATCATCATCATCTCATCATCATCATCATCGGATCATCATCATCATCATCATCATCATCGTCATCATCATCATCATCATCATCATCATCATCATCATCCTCATCATCATCAGCAGCATCACCATCATCATCATCGACGCCATCATCATCATCATCAGCAGCATCATCATCATCAGCATCACCATCATCACCATCATCACCATCATCATCTCATCATCATCATCATCATCATCATCATCATCATCATCATCATCATCATCATCATCATCATCATCATCATCATCGCGGGACACCGCGGGACACCGGCGGGACACCGCGGGGCACCGCGGGACACCGCGGGACTTTCGCGAGACACCGGTGGGACACCGCGGGCCACCGGCCGCCCGGAAGGGAATCATTTGGTCCGGCCGCGCCCCAGCCACACGGGACTTTCGCGGGACACCGGCGGGACACCGCGGGCCACTGGCCGCCCGGAAGGGAGTCATTTGGTCCGGCCGCGCCTCAGCCACAGGAGACTTTCTCTCGCCCGCCCACGCAGCTTCGCCTCGCCCGCACGCACGGCACGCACGAACACGAAACCGAAATCGATTTCCCGGTAGGGGGGCTCTCCGTTCCACTTCGATCTTACCGCCTCACCTCCGATCGATCTCACTATCGATCTCACTCAACGGTACACCACTGAACACCACGGGACACCACGGGACATCTGTCGATCTCACTATCGGTCTCACTATCGATCTCACTTTTTGGGACACCGTGGGACACCTCGGGGCACCACATCGATCTCAATATCGATCTCAATATCGATCTCACTTTGGGGGACACCACGGGACACCACGGGACACTGCGAGACACCGCGAGCCACCACTGGACGGACGGACGGACGGCCGGGCGGGGGAGAATCATTTGTCTTGACTTCGCCCTAACAACGGCGGATTCATTCCTCACGCACGACACGAACGAAACGAAACGATTTCCTCGTTGGGAGTCTCCGTTACACAGCGATCTCACCCCCCAACATCCGATTCAAAAAAGACCCCCCAGCATGAGCAAGAGATGGTCAAACATCGTCCCCAGACTAGTTTCTTCGACCAGTTTTGACCAGTCCTCCTTGTTGAGGAACAGGCCCGACTTACCTCAGAGAGGTCATCTCGTCGGCTCTGGCGACTCGGCGCTAATCGACACTGCACCGACGCTACGCGACGCTGAACCGACGCTAATCGACACTAGCCGACGCTGAATCGGCGCTATCTCATCAACTCCAGACGCGAATCGACGCCAACGACGGAATTAAGAGGATGTACCAGACTCCCATGATTTGCTACCGAACAAGATGGACGGTAGCCCATGGCAGTGGGTATGGGAGGGGCCCGACGTATACACCACGTCGTCTGATCGGCCGAGAAACGCGGCGTGTAGATGCCCCATCTGCCCAACCTGTGGGACTCTGGATCGCATGTACACCAAATTCCTGCGCCGACCGAATGCATCCGCTCCTTGACCGACCAAACGACGTGGTGTATACGTCCAGCCCATCCTAGGGTACGTCTTTCGGGCCGGGCGAAAGGGGGGGATAGCAATGGGGGGGTCTGAGAATCAGCTCACGTAGCTGATATTCCCAGCGCCTCCCGGCGCCGGGAGGCGCCCATGTATCGAGGAATGGGCTCAGCGGCGGGGCCGAAACCAGCTGCATGCAACAGATTTCGTACCCCCCCCCCCCCCTTTCCCCTAAAACAGGGCTAGGATCGGGATAAATCGATCCAGAGCGTTCCGGAGCGCTCTCAGAGCGTTCCGGAACGCTCTGGAGCGGCCGCGGCGCCCAATACATCCTCCAAACCCGCCGATTCTCAGAGATTTCGAGTTATCCCGATCCGATTTTGTCCCGATCTTCGCGTCGTTTTACTTTCGCTCGACCCGAGTCTCGACCCTTCGCGTGCGCGGCCGGTCCTCGAAGTGCAAGAAGGTGTTCCGCACGACCAGCCTCCCGCCACCCAGGTCCGCGGGCCTGGAGGCCGCCCGGATGAGGGCCACGTAGTTTTAGGTCGGGCGTGTCCCCCTACAGAAGGATTTTCGACGAATTATAAAAGATGCTCAAAGCATAATCCCAGATAGTCAAAAATAGTCAGGGGACTATTTTTCGAATACTTGTGGACCATCTTGGGGTATGTGTTGGGTATTTTTCTATCGCAGATCCCCCTGCAGGGGGACACGCCCGACTGAAAAAAGCTTCTCCACGGGGCTGGGGCATCGCCGATGCACCAGCGACGCTGGGATGGAGAAGCCCGAGCTCCGCACCGACCCGCCTCGCCGACGCAGTGGCGCCGCAGGGGGCGGTCCTCGGACCCCCTCTGCAGGTGTCGCCCCAGGCGACGGCACCATCGGCAAACGACCGAACCGACCGCACAACGAAACCGACCGAGACCGACAGACGCAACGGGGAAACCGAGACCGAGACCGACCGCAGAACGAAACGACCGAACCGACCCCAGAACGAAACCACCCCAGAAGGGCGCAGAGACGCAACAGGGGCACGACGGCCGACCGAACGCAGCCGACCGCGACGCGGCCGAACCCGACCGAACCGCGGACACCGCGGACTCCCTTGGTCCTCGCGCCTGCCTTTCGGCCCATAACTGGGGGGTCTCTGGCGGGCGCTCAGAACGACTCGGGCCCTGCAGGGAAGCAACCGGCGAGGCGCAGCTGCCAGAAGGCACTCCGAGGCTGCAAAGCCGCTGAGATGAGTATCGTTTAACCGATCACCATCCCCAGCGGCGTGACCTGGGCCCCACTGGCCGAATTACCCCCCCAGATGGGGATATAGGTCGTTCCCTTCGGGTTTCGAGGGGTGTATCCCCATCTGGGGTGGTAATTTGGTGGGGGTCTCGAAAGGGATGGGGATGGGGATGGGGATTGGTTAAACGATACCGAGCAAAGCAACAGCTGCCAGACGAAACACTCCGATGCTGCAGAGCCGCCGAGAGCCATCGAGAACGTGCGAAACCCTCGAACGAAGCCACGCACAGGAACACACGGCCCCGCCAATCCGCGAGGCCAGCCGCGTGTGACCGAAGCCCGCGCAGCACACGCTCCCGAAGCCTGCGACAACGTCGTGCACACGGGCTGGAAACGGCCACGGGGTCTGGACTGGATACTCCAAATCCCTTATTCATCGTCCCCGGGGTCCGGTTTTTTAAGGCGCCCTTTCTGTGACTGGGGGGGGTCCAATTTGCTAGGGCACTTTCTTTGGATTGGAGCTTAAGGGGTCCGGTTTATTTAGGCGCCCCGTCTAAGAGGGGGGTCCGGAATATATTGTCGCATTTGGAGGGGGTCCGGTTTTTTAGGGGGGGTCGATTGATAAGGGATTTGGAATAGGGGAAAATCGGTCAAGTGGGGGGTGAAGGCCACTCGCTCGAAAGCAATCCCCGGACCCCTCCCTGGCTTCAAACCGACAAATGGTTCGCCGCGTCCAGCCATGGCGACGAGAGGGGGGGCCTTTAGTTCCCTTTCCTGCTGGCCGGCAGCAAGTGCTGGGCCACCTCCGCACCCCGGCCACCTCCAACACACGGGCGTCGTTCTTTCGCACCTGAGTTTCAAAGGTAGCTGGGTTCGCGCACTCGCGCCTTCGCGCCGCCATCAGTCCAAGGCTATCTGTCATCCGGAAACGATGGTGTTCACCTTGTGGAGGCTTTTTCGCACTGTTGTTTTGCAAATCTAACAATATCTCTTTCAAGCGGTTGGGCAAGACACCAGTTCTTTTCAATTGAGCCTGTTTCGCTGCTTTTGACAGGTAGGGGAGGGCCTTCTCATCCGAAATCGCAACAATGCACCACACTCCTTGGCTGCAGGTCTTTGTCATCAGTATTTGAGCACCGTCTGCGTATCGTGACAGTCATCGCAGGATGGCCACCCCTTCATGTGTAGGACATGGCGACAAGTTCCCATGGAGAACTTGCTTTGTTGTGTGAAAATATGAATATTTGTCGGGATCCAAAAGAAAGGAGAGAGCGTGATCCACCGCCGCTTTACTACTTCCCCCCCTCTTCCTCTGGAGCCCAGGGGTCTGCCCCCCCTCCAAAAATCCCCCCCCCTCTGCTGAACCCCCCCCGCCACTCCCTCCTCCCTCCCTCCTGGCAAAACCTCCACGTCCCCCCTAGCCCCCCCCCCCCCAGAAAACCGGGAGGGGGGGTCACTACTGGTTCGAACCCCCCCCCCCCTCGAAAACCGGGGGGGTCACTACCAGTTCGAACCCCCCCCCTGTCGAAAACCACCAAAGGGGGTCACCACCGGTTCGAACCCTCCCCCTCTCCCCCCCTTCCCTTCCGGAAAACCTGGAGGGGTCACTACCGGTTAGAACCCCCCCTTCCCTTCCCTTCCCGAAAACGGCGGGGGGGGTAACTACCGGTTGTTGAACCCCCCCCCTCGAAAAAACCCCCTCAGAAAACCGGGGGGGTCACTACGGTTCGAACCCCTCCCCCCCCCCCCACGGTCACCGCCTGCAAACGACTCCCAGGTCCCACCACCGTCCGCACCGCATCCCCCACTGCTGTCCCCAGCACCACTGTCCTCACCACCACTACCCCGCTGTTCCCACCACCGTCCCCACTGTCCCCACCAGTGCCCCCACCACTGTCGCACTGTCCCCACTGTCCCCACCACTGTTCCCACCACGGTTCCACTCTCCCCACTTTCTCCTCGGCCCCAACCACTGTCCCACTGTCCCCACTGTCCCACTGTCCCCGCCGCTGTCCCACTGAGCTGTCCCACTGTTCCCACCACTGTCCCCACTGTCCCCACCACTGTCCCCACTGTACCTCTGTCCCATTGTCCCACCGCCGTCCTCGCCACCGCCCTCACCACTGTCCCCACCACCACTGTACCCTCCACTGTCCCACTGTTTCCACCACATTCCCACTGTCACTGTCCACCGCCTTCACCACTGTCCCCACCACCACCGCCCACCACTGTCCCACTGTCCCCACCACTGTCCCGCTGTCCCCACCACCACCGTCCCCACCACTGTCCGCACCACTGTCCCACTGACCCCGCCCACTGTCCCACCCACTAACGTTCCCACCACTGTCCCAGCATCCCCCCATTGTCCAACTGTCCCGAGGAACGGGATCGTTTGCTGGCGGCGAGGGGGGGGGGGGTCGAACCGGTAGTGACCCTCCCCCCTTTTCATGATGGACTCTGGGGAGGGGGGAAGGGGTTCGAACCGGTAGGGGGGATGGGTTGGGAGCCCCCAGTGACCCTCCCGATTTTCCGCCAGCGGCGGTAGAACAGGCTCTTTCACAAAAAGGTGTGCGACGAGAACCGGGACTTCTGCAGGCAACGATGGGCATGTCGCGCGAACAAGTTCCCACAACAGATGCCGAAGACAACAGAAACGTATACCTCAATCTGTGCAGGGCCGGATCGAACGCATACAACAAACATCCACCACATTGACGCAGAGATCTTCGCATATGCGGTGGTCACATTGGAATTGCGTTCCGTCTTGGCGACAAACCCTATTTCTGAAGCGTTTTCGAAAGATCGTTCGGCAATGTCTCTACAAATGCGTGCACAAAAAGGCTGGGAAAAGAGGAGGTTGGGAAGTTCGTCAAGATGGAAGTGGACAGGGTCGGAGAAACCAGCAAGGGCTGCGACGAACACGAAAAAGTTGGGATGGGGCCGCCTGGGCTGGGACAACGAGAAGAACACTGGCCACGGGTGGAAATCGTGGAAGGGCTGGCCCCAGCCGCTCTTTCAGGCCTCCCTGCAGAACTGCACAGGGACGCAGTGCCTGCAGCTCTGGCTCCGGGGCGCCGTCTCGAGGACGGCGTGGCGCGCGCACCAGTGGGGAGCTCAAGCTGAACCCACGGCCACGCCCTGATCCAAGAAGTCGGAGGAAGATCCAGCCAGACCAAGAGCCTTCTACAGGGAATCCAACCCTGAGACCCCAAGACGCCCATGGATTCTCGGTGCGGGAACGCCGCGCTTTCCATGGCAAAACCATGGCAACCAGGACGGGCACCCTGGAGGCAGGCAGGGTGCTTGTTCGGCATGGGTTTCCACGGCATTGCATCCACTGGCTCGAGTACGGGAAGGACGAGGGGAATGCTTGCCATCGCTCAGACGTCCATTCCCTGTGCTTTTTTCGGTTTCGTGCGTGGCTTTTTCACCACATGATCAAGGATGCTCCTCGATGGTCCTCGCCGGAGGAAAAATGCACACGTCCGAGCGATGCCAAGGATGGGGATGAGGATGCGGTGTCGAGAAAACGCAGACACCTTCGCGCCCTCCTGGCGGCCCTCGTGAACCCACTCGGGCGGCCTGAAAGGCGGCGGCGGCCATGGCAGCGCTGCACCCAGCGCCGCTCCAGGCGCGCGCGGCCGCAGGCCGCGCGCCGCGGGCGACGGGTGCCTCGGCTCCTCCATTCGACCACACGCAGGAGCGGCCACGAGCAGGAGTGACCTTCGATGCGTGGCTTTCTGGGGGCCGCGCGGGGCCAAACTTTTTGGTCTGCGGGTCGGGAGCGGGCCCCTTCCGGTCAAGGGCTAAACGGGGCGCGAGTAGCCCTACTTGACGAGACAGGGAGCAGGCGGGCGGGGCCTCAGGCGGCCGGAGGGCTCAGAGTACAGGCGGTGCTCACGGGGGCCAAACACAAGCGCGCAAGACGCTACTACCGCGCCGCGTTCGGCGACCGGGGGACCCCAGTGGGCCCGCACCGAAGGTCACTCCTGCGATGGGTCACTCTCGGGGAGACGCAAGACTCGTGTACGGGGGACTGGGGTTGGCATGACGGGGTCATCATGAAAATGACGAGGCCCAATCTAGAATTTGACGCGAACTCCCGCTGCAAACATCCCACGACAATCGGACCGTCAAACCCAGGACGCGCTCGTCAAAAAACGTCGGCAAACCCGAGTTCCGGCTTACCCGAATCTCACGTTTCCCCGACACTCTTGCGTGTACTCGATCCATCTGGGCCGCGGGCACGACCGCCATCGGCCCTGCGGGGCGCCGGCAGCCGAACCGAGGCTGGGGCGCGACCTCCTCGGGGCGGCGCCCACGGGTGGGCGGCACAGAGGGGGCCGGCCCTCCGCGCGGGCAGCGCGGGGGGGGGTCCTTTGGGCGGCAGGAGCTTTTTGGGGAGGGGCCCTGGCCTGTGACAGAGGAACAAAATTATCCCAGTGCGACCCTACCTAGGAGTTGGAGCCCCTAAGAAAGCAGCATTAGTAGTAACAGTAAAGCTAAGCTAAAGATAAGCTAAAGCTAAGCTAACGCTAAGCTAAATCTAAGCTACAGCTGAACTAGAGCTAAACTAAAGCTAACTTAAAGCTAAGTTAAAAATAAGTGAAAGCTAAGCTAAAGCTGAGCTAAAGCTAAGCTGAAGATAAGCCAAAGCTAAGCTAAAGCGCAGCTAAAGCTAAGCTGAAGCTAAGCTGAAGTTAAGCTGAAGCCAAGCTGAAGCAAAGCTGAGGCAAAGCTGAAGCTAAGCTAAAGCTAAGCTAAAGCTAAGCTAAAGCGAAGCTGAAGCTAAGCTAAAACTGAGCCAAAGCTAAGCTAAGGCTAAGCTAAAGCTAAGCTAAAGCTAAGATACAGCTAAGCTAAAGCTAAGCTAAAGCTAAGCTAAAGTTAAGCTACAGCTAAGCTACAGCTAAGCTGCAGCTAAGTTAAAGCTAAGCTAAAACTAAGCTAAAGCTAAGCTGAAGCTAAGCTAAAGCTAAGATACAGCTAAGCTAAAGCTAAACTAAAGCTAAGCTAACGCTACGCTAAAGCTACGCTAAAGCTACACTAAAGCTACACTAAAGCCAAGCTAAGGCTAAGCTAAAGCTAAGCTAAAGCTAAGCTGAAGCTAAGCTAAAGCTAAGCTGAAGCTAAGCTAAAGCTAAGCTGAAGCTAAGCTAAAGCTAAGCTGAATATGAGCTAAAGCTAAACTAAAGCTAAGCCAAAGCTAAGCTGAAGCTAAGCTAAAACTCAGCTAACGCTAAGCTAATGCTAAGCTGAAGCTAAGCTGAAGCTAAGCTGAAGCTAAGCTGAAGCTAAGCTGAAGCTAAGCTGAAGCTAAGCTGCAGCTAAGCTGCAGCTAAGCTACAGCTAAGCTATAGCTAAGCTACAGCTAAGCTACAGCTAAGCTACAGCTAAGCTAAAGCTAAGCTAAAGCTAAGCTAAAGCTAAGCTAAAGCCAAGCTAAAGCTAAGCTAAAGCTAAACTAAAGCTAAGCTAAATCTAAAGCTAAGCTAAAGCTAAGCTAAATCTAAGCTAATGCTAAGCTGAAGCGAAGCTAAAGCCAAGCTAAAGCTAAGCTAAAGCCAAGCTAAAGCTAAGCTAAAGTTAAGCTAAATTTGATATAAAGCTAAGCTAAAGCTAAGCTAAAGCTAAGCTAAATGTAATCTAAGTTTAAGCTAACACTAAGCTAAAGCTAAGCTACAGCTAAGCTGAAGCTAAGCTAAAGCTAAGCTAAAGCTAAGCTAAAGCTAAGCTAAAGCTAAGCTAAAGCTAAGCTAAAGCTAAGCTAAAGCTAAAGCTAAAGCTAAAGCTCCCAGGGGACTGGGGGAACCGCGGGGCGGGGACCGGGGGAACCGCCCGGGGCGCTTTCCATTGCCCGGCCCCTTTAAGCTAAGAGAGTAAGAACCCTTCTAGGCAGAGCCTAGGTAGGGAAGAAGCGGCATACACGGATTGAGTCTGTCGCGGGCAGCAGGTCTGGAGGTGGGCCTGGGCGCCGCGACGGATGGCCACGTCTACTCGACCCGTCTGAATGACACCATCTGGCCGTCAACTCCGTGTTAACGAACCCCTTTGACGCCCTCCTCCCGGATTGACGAACCCCCTTGGCGGCCTCTCTCCGAGTTGACGAACGCCCTTGACGGCCTCCCTTCAAGCTGACGAACCTGTGGGCGCTTCTCCAGACATGCGCCGTCTCAGCCACTGGTTTGGGACTCAATAAACAACAACTGCTGGCGCTCCACGCGGATTTCTCGGAGGTGAGCTGGGCCCCTCTCCCTGGCGCGCGGAGCGCGCCAGGGGCGGCGCTGGAGGCGCCGCCTGGGGGGCCCAGGCGCCGATGCAAGAAATCCGCGCGTAGCGCTAGGAGTCTATGTTTATGGCGTTTCTTCTCCTTCGATCTGAAGGGTTAGGAGGCAACTCCAGGGAGGTCGTCGTCGATAGGACTAAGGAAGATTAAGCCCCATTGGGAGCTGCTACGCCGGAGTAGGCCTGGGATTCAGCGGGACTAAGCCGGACTAAGCGACATTCAGCGGAAGCCGGATTGAGCAGGACTGGGCCGGATGAAGCCAGATTTCGGACCAGGGCAAAGTCAGAATTTGACCTCCCAGGAGTTGCTTCCGAAAAAGGGATTCTTGATAGGTCGGGCGTGTCCCCCTACAGGCCGATGTTTGACGAAACATGAAAAATACCAGCAAGCAGCTGAAACAAATGCTCAAACATGGTCAACAAATCGTCCCCATACTACTTGTTTGCCTAATGTTTGATATTCCTCCCGTGGAGGGACACGCCCGACTTAAGGCTCTTGGAAGCCGCCTGGACCTCTTGAGTTTTGTTGCTCCCGTCGTACTCAAGGACCACACCCCAAAAATGATGTCGATCGCCCGGAAAAGTGTCGCACCAGTGTCGAAACCGTGTCGGACGAGTGTCTCCCAGGGCCCGACACGCGAACGCCCTCGAGTTTCGGCACTTTTCTGGGTTTGGTGTCCGTTCCATAGGGAGCCTGCGTGGCCCTCGGCACTGTCCAATTTGGGCCTGATTTGGACCGAATGTGGAACAAATTTGGACCGGATTTGGACCGGACTTGGACTGGATTCGTGGGGGCTGCGTAGGAGAACGAGGAGGGGGAGGGGGGAACAGGAGGGGAGAGGAGGAGCAGGATGGGCCAACTGCGGCCCGCACGCTGCCCACATGCAGGAACAGCGGATGTCAATGTCGCCGCCCAAGGCTCCCACGAACAGGCATCGGATCTGGGGGGCTCGAGATCCTTTCTCCTTTCTCGTGATCAGGGCTGCAGCAGGTGGGAGCACCATAAAAAAACAAACTGTTGGGGCGGCGCCTGCCCTCACAGAGGCCCCACCCGCCCTTGATGGACCTGTCCTCCACCACCACCACAAGTTGGAGGGGGTAAGGAGGAGGAGGAGGAGGAGGAGGAGGAGGAGGAGGGGGAGGAGGAGGGGTAAGGAGGGGAGGAGAAGGAGGAGGAGGAGGAGGAGGAGGAGGAGGAGGGGGAGGAGGAGGAGGAGGAGGAGGAGGGAGAAGGGAGGAGGAGAGGACCCCCTCCCCCGCAAACTTGTGGCGGTGGTGGAGAACAGGCCCACCCGCCCGGCCTCCGCACGAGGCGGCCGCCGCCCTCGCTCGCGCGACCGCGCCCCCGAGCGGGCGCGCCGCCCGGCCTCGGCGTGCGGCGCCGGGCCCGAACGAGGCGCGCGGCGGCGGGGGCCTCGTCAGCACGGACCTCCCCGGAGCTCCCCGCGCCGCGGGCAGCATCGGGGCTTGCAGTGGAGGCCCATGCCAAGAGGCACCCTTTTCTGCCTCCAGGGTGCCCTGGGTGTTCCTGGGTTCGGATGGTTTTGCTGTGGAGGGCGTGGCGTTCCCACACCCACACCAACAGTCCATGGACGTCCTGGGGTCTCAGGGTTGGGCTTCTTGTTGAAGGTTTCTTGTGGACTGGCCTCCACTGGATGCTGCCTCCTCTTGGCGGCGAGCGAGGGGGGGGGGAAAGAAGGAGAAGGCCTGCTCAGAAGGCGGCGAGACTTCTCAGAAGTCCTCGCGCATGCTGAGAAAATGTCGAAAAACTTCTCAGAAGGCTGGGGGACCTCCGAGCCTTCTGAGAAGGCCTTCTACTGCTCACTTCCCCCCCTCGCTCGCCGCCGATGCTCGGGTGACCTTGTCTTTCCCATGGCGGGCTCATCCGCGTCGAGTGCGCGTCGAATCCGTGTCGGACTCGTGGGATGCGTGTCGAATCCGTGTCGAAGCCGCGTCGGGTCCATGCCGAGTCCGCGTGGAGTCCGCATCGAGCCCGCGTCGGGCACAGGAACAGACAACAATTTTGGGGGCAGGCGAGGTCCTCCAGAGATGCAACGCAACGAGGCGGGCGGTTTCTGGGGGTCTCCGCTTCGGCCTCCAGGGGGGCCCTCGCCGGGCCACGGGACCTCCAAACGGCACTGGGGGGAACGCGCTGACCTGGGTCAATCCAAACCCGGGTCAGCCGGGCTTGGCAAGATCCTGCAGGATCCTGCGCGTTGGCTGGGTCCATGCACCCCTGGCTCTACTGGGTCCTGCAAGATCTGGCGCTCTGGCTGGTACCCGCCGTTTGCATCGACCCCCGTCTCAGTCGAGGGCGTCCAAGAGGGGGGCGTTCAAGAGGGGGGGAGCAAATCATGGCCAGCGGCACGTGCACGGCCCAGGGGGAGACAGTGGACGGAATGAAATAAGAAGAGGCTCCATGAAATCTACGGAAATATGAATCATGGTCCACGCCATGATCTCCCCCCTCCCCCCTGGTGATCACCCCCCTCTCTGCCGCCCACGATCTCAAGGCTCCCGAGCTCAGGATGAAAAAAGCTGTCCCGGGGAAGCGGCGGACAACTCCGGGGGTCCCTGCTGCGAAAACGCCACGAGCGTCGGAAGTCTGGGTCTCGAGTCAAGCAGCTGCGGCGGGTTACCTCCAGACCTCTAGCCCTCCTCCTCCTCCTCCTCCTCCTCCTCCTCCTGCTCCTGCTCCTCCTCCTCCTCCTCCTCCCTTCTTCGAGCGCGTTTCTTTATGTTTGGCGATGACGGGCGTCATGGGGGGGGGGGGCAGGGGGGGTATGACGTAACGCCCCCCCCGAGGTGTGGTTCCGGCACCGCAGCCGCGCCCGCGCGCGCGACGCGACGACGACGCGAGCAGCATGTAGGTGGCGATATGCCCCACTGCGCCTGTGTACGCCACAACGCTCGCGTGCACCACAGCGCGCGTGTATACCACAGCGCCTGCGTACACCGCAACAACCGTGTGCAACGCAGCGCCTGTGTACACCACAGTGCTTGCGTACAGTACAGCGCTGGCCTACACGTGTACACCGCAGCTACCATGTGCAACACAGCGCCCGTGTACACCACAGTGCTTGCGTGCACCGCAGCGCCTGCGCACGCCACGGCGCGCGTCTACACCACAGCATCCGCGTGCAACGCAGCGCTGGTGTACACCACAATGGCTGCGTACATAGGACAGGTAGAAGGAGCATGTGCGTGAGGATCTACTGCGGACAACGAGACGCCACGCCAGGAAGTGCAAATAATCGAATGCGACGTTCTTCCCTCCTCCCTCCTCCTCTACCTCCACCACCTCCTCCTCCTCCTCCTCCTCCTCATCCTCCTCCTCCACCTCCTCCAACTCCTCCTCCTTTTCGTGTCCTCATCCTCCTCCTCCTCATCCTCCTCCTTCCTTCCTCATTACCCCCTGTCGTGCGGTTTGGCGCTAAAGCGCACGTGCGCATCTCAGCGCGCAACGCAGAATGGTCTATTGAATCGGTCCACTTGGTTTTCCGACGGCCAATTTACCTCGGGCCTCCTGGACGCAGATGGGAGGAGTTGGGGTGATGCGGGCGGACTCGGGAGGACTCGTAGATTCCAGCGCCGGTCCGTTGTCCACCATGACTATTTTCGATTGTTTTCAGTGGAATCCACAAGCGCTCCATTTTGTCATAGGGATTCGTTCTAACATTATAAATACAACGGTGGTGCTGTGTTGCACACGGTTGCTGTGGTGCACACAGGCGCCGTAGTGTACACAGGCACTGCAATGCAGGCAGGCATTGTGGTGTACACTGGTGCTGTGTTGCACACGACTGATGTGGTGTACGCAAGCGCTGTGGTGTGCACGAGAGCTGTTGCAAGCGGCTGCTGTGGTGTACATAGGCGGTGTGGTGTACACAGGCGCTGTGGTGCACGCAGGCACTGTGGTGTACACAGGTGTTGTGGTGCAAGTCGCCACCTACATGCTGGCGCACCCGTCCTCCGTCAATCCGAGGCATTCCCAGACGCCGCCGGCGCGAAACGTGACGACATCGACCCCCTCCACCCCCCCCTAGATGATTGCCGTCATCGGCCCGGAATAAAAAAACAGGCTTCAGCCGCGTCCGCGCGCACGACGACTATGAGCGATGAGCGACAAGCCACGAGCGACGACGACCACGACGACGATGACGATGACGACGACGACGACGCCGACTGCAGACCAGACTCCTATGCGGATTCCTACGCGGACACCTGCGCGGATCCCAAAACGCACGGCGGCAGTGCCCGGGGTGTACTGGGGGGGGAGCGTTACGTCATAGGGGGGGGGGGGGCATGACGCCCGTCATGCCCCAAGCAATAAAGAAATGGGCTCTTCCCGGCCTTCCGCCCTAGCCTTCTGCCCCTTCTCAGATAAGATCTGTGTGGGACCCCTTGGCCTGCGTACGGGTTCCATGGATTTCGATGAAGCCTTCCGCACCTGCCACGGAGGCTGGAAGATATGGAAGGTGGAGGTGGAGGGTAAAATGTCTGTCAGGCTATCTTGGCCAACTTGGGACGCTCTCGGAACAGATCGGAGAGCACTGAGCGGCCCCGTGAGGGGGGCCCACACAATTGTGGTAGAGCCTGGCCCAGGAAGCCCCGCCCCCGTCCCCCCGCTATACATGAATATAACGGGGAAATGGGACCCCGGACCTGGGCTGGCCTACTGTTTTCAAAACTTCCCCCCCCCCCCCAGGGATCCCCATTTAGTCCCGGCGAGGTCCCGACTCTTTTCGGATGGCTTCCCAGCAGGGGGATTATCGGGATCGGAGCTCCTGGGAGGGCTAATGGGTTGGATGTTCGCTGGAGAGAGGAAAGAGAAATCCAAGTGGAAACACATCGTTTCCTGAGTTCTCCTTCTTCCAAAATTCCAGAGCATCCAAATGAAACGTCAGGTTTCTGATGTCAGGGGTGCGGAATCATTTGAATGCTCGGGATTTCTGGGATCAGAAATTGGGAAGCCATGTGTGTGTCGTGTGGCTGTTTTAAAATGTTGAAATGTCTTCCCTGCAGCAGAATCCGACTCAGGAGCCCTCCAAGGAGTTCTGGTCCCAATAATCTCAAACATCTCAAAAAGATCAAAAGAAATCACATGGCTTCCCCACTTCTCATCTCAAACATCCCGAACAAATTCAATGAAAACACTGGGCTTCCGCACCCCTGACATCAGAAGCCATGTGTTCTCATTAGGATGTTTTGGATGTTTGGGTTCTGGAGATCGGAGCTCCTTGGATGGCTCCTGGGTTAGATACTCGCTCGAGGAAGGATAATCCAACACATCAGAAAGAAGCAGCATCTCAGCACATGGTGTCATCACCTCTCATACTTACAATCTCCAACATCCAACTGAAAGCGCAGCAACTCCGCACCTCTGACATCGCACGCCCCGCGTTTTCGCAGGGATTGTGTTGGGCGCCTGGGAAAGAGGGAGGGAGAGAGAGAGAGAGAGGGAGAGAGAGAGGGAGAGAGAGAGGGAGAGAAAAGAGAGATAGGGAGGGAAAAAGAGAGAGGGGGGAGAGAGAGAGGGAGAGAAAAGAGAGATAGGAAGGGAAAAAGAGAGAGGGGGAGAGAGAGTGTGAGAGAGTGAGACAACGTGAGAGAGAGAGAGAGGAGGAGGAGGAGGAGGAGGAGGAGGAGGAGGAGAGGAGGAGGAGGAGGAGGAGGAGGAGGAGGAGGACGAGGAGGGAGAGGAGGAGGAGGAGGAGGAGGAGGAGGAGGAGGAGGAGGAGAAGGAGGAGGAGGAGAGAGATAGAGAGAAAAAAAAAGCAGGAGGAGAACGGCGCGAGCCCAATGCTGCGCTGCCTGGAGACCGCTCGCGCGCCGTGCGGATGACCCTGAGATCCGACGCCACGAAAAAGCTACACCGGGGGCGTCAAAGCGGGTGGCGCCCAAGAGGGGGGGGGCAACTCATGGCCGGCGGCATGTGCGCGGCCCCTGTGGGGGGGGGGGGCTCAGGCACGTAATGGAACAAGAAGAAGCGCCATGAGAGTGCGGATGCACGTCGGTCGGAAGACGTAGGTACACACATGAAGTAGGAAGGCGGCCGAAGTGGATTGGGTCCAGGCCCTCCAGAGAATAACACGACACAGCAACAGCGAGCCGAGTCTTGGAGTAGGAAGGCGCTTGAAGTGGATTGGGATGTGGGAATCCAAAAATACATGCTTTCAACGACCGGCGTGTAACCCTGAGATCCGACGCCACGAAAAAACTACAGCATCGTGGAACATAAACGACGGGAGCCCGATCGGTGGTGAACAAACCTCCCTTTAGTAAACTACCCTTCAATGGAAACGGCCTGGGACCAAAGCGGACGAACCTGGACCCGCAAAAGTGACGGCCGCGACGCCCTCCCGCG